CCAACACAGATAGAGAAATAGACAGAGACTAACACAGATAAGAAAAAAAAGCTCCAGTTACCAGTGCTGCAGCAATTCCCCAGCTTTACCATACAGTATGTTTGAACTTCCCCTATACTTTGCAATAATGAGGAGGGGGTGCCAGCCTTATAAACTTCAATCACTCATGAAGACCTCCCTTTATTCTCACTGGTTGTGAGACATGTCAAATATGCTTAGCTTGCCTTTATAGTGCAGCTTTCAGAGATCTTGTTGTGACAGAATAAGGCTACAAGGAAATGTTCCTCCTCAATCTTAGAACATCAAAAGGTCTTTGAATTGCTTCTGTCGCCAGGAAAGATAAATGTGATGTTGTCGCGTCTGGCTGGATATTGTAAAACCATGTCTCAATTCTGTCAGCCGGCAAGAGGCTTTGTAATACAATTGTTTACACTTCCTCTTGAATAGCCTGATCAAACTTTTATTAGTGTGCTGGATGGTGTTCAAACTACTCTGCGTCAGCAAAATGCTATGGCGGCTTACAACTACTTTGGAATATTTACAAGCTGAGCAGAGCTCCTTCTGTGGCGCAGTTCATTTAGCACATTAATTCAGACACTATTCCTCAATTAAATCTTAAATGTATGTTTCCTAAACCTTTATTCAATCGATAACAACAAGGACACACTTTCAGGGTGAACGTTTGTCTCCTGGCAATTAGATCTGTTTCACATGCAAGAAAAACAACTGCCGCATGTAATCAATACACACAAAATGAGCCAGTCAATTGTAGACAATGCCAGCTTATAATTTAATCAGAAAATACCGATCAAGTCTAAAATGACTGACACTCACCATAAAAAGAACATGGTATTATATGGTTTCACCCATATTTAACGATATGGGTTAAAAGACCATCTCTGATTGAATCATTCATGTGTTTTGACTTCCAGCCTTCATCCTTATGCAGCTAATAGAAACCCTCTTTCTGAAGATATCTCCCTCTTTTGCAGCCAGTGTCAACATCCTTTCATCTATAAGCAGGAAACGTGTGCTTGCATCTTTTCTGCCTCATTAACACAAACGGATTCAAGCTAATTACAGTCAGGTGTCAAAGCAGCCGGCATTGTTTCATGTACACATAAGAGGATTATATTAACCCCCTCCGTGTTTTTTACGTCACACAAAACAAAAAGACATACCATTCTATGTTTAGATGAAATTAGATGGAAAAAGAGAAAGATGGAGATTGCATTGATGCCAAAATAAAAACGTTAACAGTCAGATGAAGATCCTTTTTAGTGAGCTTACGCCACCGTCAAGAAAACATTGAAATTGCAATGTATGTTTTTTTTTTTTTATATCTTACCTTTATCTTAACAAACAAATCTGGCCAACACACTAAAACAGCCATTCAGCACTATATTGAAAACCTGAAGAAAACTCTTCCCTCTATAGGCTTATAAATGAGGGGGAAAGTCTTTGTTGTCATCTGGGTATGTATAACTATCATCCAGCCGGAAAACATTTGATCATTTTATGGTAGCTGTCCCGTAAAAGCCACTAAGAACGTACACAGACATTCATCTTTGCTAACGTTTACGCTGTCTCGAGGTTTTGCAGTGTTGGGAATTAAACATCCATTCATTTTTTCAACTATAAGTGAGGAGACTGTAATGGATAATTTTGTAAATATGGCACTTTAGACTCTCTGAGTAATCATGTTTGTTACAAGAAAGACTTAGACTGGCCATTCATTTGTATAGAGTGTCTATTTGCACCCGGGTGAAAATAGCATTGTTGACTATAGACACCCGGGTGCAAATAGCATCTGCCTAAAAGATAAGCTGATGTTTAAACTGGCATAAATGCGAGTGGATAATGAGAATTATATTGGGTTGTAATCTCCCTCTAAATTTGGTTAGTCACTTTCTTTTTAAGAAATACTTTCTCTAATCGAGACATCTGTTAATACGCAGATTGTGTTTTTTATATGTAAATAGAACTCCAATTATGATCACTTAAATAGCCCTAATGTAGCCCATTTGTTCTAAACAATTCTAAAAATCTCGAAATCCAGAGTTATTCTTTCTTTCATGATAATGAGCATGTACACCTTTCTTTCCTTATTTCTTTTATAAACAACCAATGTTCATTTGATTTATTCCCACTGGTGGTTATACTTTGGCATTTTGATTATGACTGACAAAAAATGTAATAAACAGTAACTTTCCAAATTACTAAAGTCCCCACGGATAATATATTTTACATAACATTTACCAGTGTAATGTCAACACAAATCTTCCACGTATAAACTTTTGTCAGAATGTCTTTTGTGACTTTATAACAATAATGTAACATTAATCTGTCTGTGGCTCTTTCCTGCTGTAACGATGCAAATGTCCTCTCTGTGGGACTAATATATATCCTTTATTTAACCAGGTAAAAGACTCATTGAGATTAAAATCTCTTTTCCAAGAGCGACCTGGCCAAGAAGGGCAGCATGTACAAAGTTACAACAGATAAAACACAGACATGACAGGCAGACAAATACAGCTGTAAAACACAAATAAAATGGCACATTAGCCAGTCAATATGCGAAGTAAAACAAACTATTCAAATCATTCAAAACTGGCAAACATTTAAAACGATTTTAGGATATACGAGCACTCACATCTACCAATGGTGTCGTGTTCTCTGTCCTTTAAGATGGACCTGAATTCCCCCATAGTGATTAAATCTGAGCGTTTCAGCTCCTTCTGTACATTGTACTGTATTGTTAATAAAGGTATTCTGATTCTAATGTATCAAGTGTACTGCTTTTAAGGGAGGTAGTCTTTCCTTTCCCTGGTTAAGTGCCTTTCTCACAATGCCTACACTGTTTGAGTGCTGTGAGGTCAGAGAAAAAGAGAGAATACTAGTCTACTGTAGTATACCTTAGTAAAATATGTGTTTTTAAATCTTTTTATCTTACAAGTAACCAGACTATTTCTACATAGTGTTTATTCGCTCAGATTCCATTGCCTGCGGGTGTGATTGTGGAATTTGTCTTTGATAACAAACTGGCTTTCTGCAAGCTGCTACTCACCACTGTCAGCATGAATCAGCCGCATTTTAAAATCTTAAAGGAATGTTCTTTATGGTATTTCAATTAAATGGCGTTGAAAGAGAATATCTGAAGACTGAACATACACTATGTAAAACAATCATACTGTCTGTTACTTGACCTACATATGTCAAACCACTGGACTATATATATATATTATTTAAGCTTTTATAATGCATAGTATAAGGGATTATACTTACTATGCCAGTGCCCCCTCCCCCTAAAGCTGCACACACAGACACACACTGGATAATTAACTGGTTTAAATAGCAACAAAAACACGTATATATGAATTAAGAAAAAGAGGACAGACTCTAACCTCATTAAGGATTTTTTGATAGCCAGGCCGTCTTGATGATTCTATAATGAAACTGTCAAAAAGACGAACTACTTTGTGTACTGTGTGTTGCCTTTGAAGCCTACTGAACTGCAATAATATGGCTTAACACAGGGGTTTTCAAAGTGTGGGAAGGTGAGCCTCCCCTCAGAGAACATAAGAACAGCCGCGCCCCCCCCTCCCAATTATTATTGCTATTATTATTAATATTATTATTATTATTATTATTATTATTATTGTTGTTGTTGTTGCTATAATGCAGGGGTATTCAATTGCATTTCAAAGAGGTCCAGTAGGATAAATTGTCATTAAATGCTCTGTTTTCGCTGTCTACCTTTCTCTTTTTTGAGCACGCCATTTGAAATTACTCACTGACTGCACCGATTTGATTGGCTGAGTAGCGTCACCTCCTTAAAACATTAAACAATAACTTTTTTTAACTTTTTTATCTTTATGTTTTAAACATTTTTTTTTATTTTTTGGAAACATTTTCAACTTCGTGGATGAATCCTTATATGCTCCCGGCAACACACTGAACGTCAACTTTGCCTCCTTATTACACTCAGTCACCCCTACTTTAGTGGGAACAATGAGTCTGCGTCTTTGATGCGCACAGGCGGTTGATGCAGGGATCAGAGTCCTGCATCGTGTCGGGTACCCGACGGGTGACCCGCAAAAAAAGTGATCCGGGTTCGGTTCTGGGTAAAACAAAGAAGATGTGGGTCGGGTCGCGGATGTTGCATAATACATATATTTAAATAATAATAATTTAATTTAATGTTCTCAGACCTCTCCCCCGCGGGACCGCGCATAATCATAACCTCTGCAGCGCATCAATCTGCTGCTGTGCGCGTCACATTCGAAATGGCTGAGGTGAAGCTCTCTAGCGGAGAATACAGCATTTTCAATAACACTTCCTCAAGAGCAAAATCCAACATCTGGGAGGCTTTTGGTGTCATCCTAGATGGAGAAAATAACCAACATCCCACGCTTTTTGAGCCAAATACGCAACTGCGTGTGTTAATAATTGCATGTTTTCACTGCTCATAGGATATGCGGGTTCGGGTCGGTTTGCGGATCTTGTGCCGACGGGTCGGGGTCTGTTTGCGGAACTAATTGGCAATATGTGCGGGTGGCTGGGCGGGTTCGGTATTGCATGTCGCGGGTACATGGCGGGAGCGGGTCTTGAAAATCAGACCCGTGCAGGACTCTGGCTGGGATGTAATGTAGACAGGAATAAACGCAGATCATCCTCTGGCTGCAGCCTTGACCGGTACTTGCTTTTGATCAAAGTCTATGCGGAAAACCCGCACTCACACAGGTAGGTGGAGGTGAAGGGAATGAGCACTTTTACAGCCTTTTTGGTGAGTTGGGGGAACTCGGTCTCCACAGACAGCCAAAAGTGTGCAAGTGACACTTTACTAATATTTTTCTCTTTATTTGTTTCTCATGCTGCGCCTCCCCTAAAGCTCTCTGGCGCCCCCCCAGGGAGGCGCGCCCCCCCAGGGAGGCGCGCCTCACACTTTGAAAACCGCTTGCTTAACACTTATCTATTTTCTCTTTTCTTCGGCTCTCTAGCTCCAATGGAAATCTACGGCATCAGTAAGAGGACATTGGACCCAGACAGGGACTCTCCAACGCAGAACACAGAAAGCGAAGTCCACTCTGTCACCACCCCCTCACCGATGAACGTACTCAACCACCAGCCGGTCCTAAAGGGCCTGCTGCTTCCTGGGCAGCTCCTTATCAGGGACTTCCAGGGGGACCAGCACTTTTTTAGGAGTGATGGCTCTGTGGCTGCATATTCCACCCTGCCAGGCTCAGATTCAGACCCCGTCACTCAGGTGGTGCCGCACGAGGATGCCCCGGCCTTCTCAGACATTGCCACTACTTCCACTGTGGCTGCCACCTCCCCACTGACCACTTTTTCTCCCACAACGCCAAGGCCATGGCTCATGTCTCTGCCTCAAAAGAAGTCCTCAAAGACAACCTGGGCTGACAAGGTGGAGCGAACGACAGACTCCCTCACAACTCATGTGACAGCAATTAATAGAGGTTCAGTCACAGACAACCCAGCGGCTTCCTCTTCCAGGCAGAGGCCTCAAAGTTCTCCCGTAGAGGCCACCATGGCACCCTCTTCGATGAGGATGGAGAAAGGCGAGGCTAGGGTGACAGCACTGAAAGACAAACTGAGGCCTGATCTTCCACCGCCCAATCTAACCACACGAGAGGAAGGTCCCGCCACCACCATCATCACAACCATCACAACCATGCAGACAGCAGGTAGTTTTTTTTGTCTTACATTCAAAGATTTTAGGAGCAGAACATACGGTAACATTTTCTTTGCCTTATGGGGACTTTTATCATGGATTATAATGTTTTTTTTTCATGACTACACTAATGAGCACACACCAACGCTTTTTGATGCATAGTCATAAACCTTATAGATCACCCCCTTTATTTATGAATAATAATGTATTTATATATGTATTATAAATTCTCTTAATTATTAACTATAGATTGACTGATTTATAATACATTATGACTACTCATTCTCAACAATCAACTGTATACTATAATATTCAACCCGGTATCACGGCGAGACGCGAACATGAGACGATTTACCATGCTGGGAGACGTGAAGATGTCATGATGTTGTCCCTTCAAACGTGACAGTTACACGGTATTGTTAACCCATGTTAACCAGTGGAGAAATAAAAAAAATTCGGATTTCACATCGCATAAACACCAAATCCCAGCGTGCATTGCGGCTAAATCATTCAATCATCGAGCTGAGGATCTTGCCTACGTCTGTTTCCGGTTTCGTTTATGACGGATGTATTTTGTTATACACACATTCCTTCACATTTAAATGTACATTAAAGTATTTTGTGAGGCCTTCTAACATGTTTTTAAATATAACTACGGTTGTAGTTGACAAGTTTGTAAATTAACATGAACTGAAGCTGTTGCCTGGCAACACAATCGCACAACGTCACGTCCGTTAATTTCACATCCACACGCATGGATTAACATCGATTTAATACATTAATGTAGCCTTTGTTTCTGCTAAAAGAGGTGACGACCAGCTGGGGCAACAAGAAAATCTGCGTAATCGAGTGTGACTATTAAAAAATAAATCATTATTATATTAATATTGACAATAACAACCGACCATCGGGGTAGCATTTGCTTGGCATTTCCGGTTATTTCTCCACTGGTTAACGTGGGTTAACAATACCGTGTAACTGTCACGTTTGAAGGGATAAAATCGTGACATCTTCACGTCTCCCAGCATGGTAAATCGTCACATGTTCACGTCTTGCTGTGATACCGGGTTGATAATATTATGCTTAAATAGTCCATGCAGTACCATTCTTTATTACTGTACGTGTCAAATAAAGTTAATTATTTGAAATAATATACTGTAAATGCTGCGTCATAAACAGTGGTGACTGGTCATTAGGGGCAGTCCCACCTAGTGTCAGCAGAAAGTATTAAAATAATAATTACAAAAAAATGCAAAACAACGCAAAATAAATACATCTTAAAATATATTTTAAGATCATGTTTAATCATCTGATTTGTCTGTACATTGCTGTTTTAGTCTGTGTTCTTCTAATTAGTGTCTACAGTGTGTGCTTATTGAGCCGTTTTGAGCCATGTGGGGGCAAGCCCCGATCTAGCCCCTCCCTCTCACTGTCTAAGTGAATGTGTACTGTAAAAACTACACTGCGCATGCTCAGTCTTTTTCTATTCAATGTGTGTGGCAAAAAAATAATGACCATAGGGGCATTGAGCTGCCATCCCCACCATACGTCATCTCACATAATTCAGAGCTGATTGGCTGTAAGTACGTGTGCCGCGAAAAATGTAGTGTGTAAAGTGGAGACGAGAGAGCTGCAGTGACGCATCCTACAACCCGGAAGTAAGCTGCCAATGGGTTCCCTCGACAAAAAAGCAATGAGATTAGAAAATAGCTCTAAATAAGGTCTGTGGAACGAACCTGTTAGATAAATGCACATTTTGTTCAGCCGGATAATATCCACATGTCTACCCTACTTTTATAATGTTCTAATCATAAATCTATCGAATAGATTTATGATTTGACTTTTGAAACTAGGGGAAGATAAGGAAGACTTTTACAAAAAAGTAATAGAGATTTTTGTCCAGAAGGATAGCATGGACTTCATCTTCAAGTCAAGGTAAGACCACAATTTAATTGAAATGGGATCTTCCTAAGAGAGAACAGTTCAATATTTAAATGATAACATTACATATTTTGGGTGTCCTTTTGTTGAACTGTCGTTTAAAATTAATCGAAGCATCAGACTAAAAAAGCTTTTGAAAATAATATTATATTTTGATTTAGGTCAAAATATAATATTTGTAAACCTGAAGAGTCAGAGCCAGTGCCTCACCAGCCAGGAACCTCACTGCACGTCACTGCAGAAGCTTATATATAAACATCTAAGTTTTTTGTGCCCCACCACTTTTCTACATATAAAAACGCCACTGGTCATAAATACATTTGATGTAAAATGCAACAAACAGATGAATCAATTATGATGAAGCTTAGGTTCTTCTAAATGCATTACACTTTCATCATCATTTTTATCCACCAAGAATGAAACATTATCTTGAGGCATGTATTATTATTATTATTATTATTATTATTATTATCATTATTATTATTATTATTATTATTATTATTATTATTATCATTATTATTATTATTATTATTATTATTATTATTATTATTATTATTATGTAGAAAACACACATGATGCATAGTATAAGCTTCATCATTCAGACAATTTCAATAGTCAAGAGCATTCAGAAGTTGTATTACATTATAGGTCACATTTATGTTTCATATGCATCAGAAAGCATGTGTTTATGAGTGTGCATGAAGCGTTTTAGGTCACTATGCATGCCCTCATAATCCAATATAAATGTAGCCTTCATACAAAGTGTTACTGGACATTCATAGACTTGTGAAATTAATATCAGCAGCTGCCAAATATAGCTTTTGCCATGATGGAAATTCAAAATGCGAGTAGATTTAACACATCCTTCCCAGAGGACAGGAAAATTAAGCATCAGGTCGACAACATGGCTGCCGTTCATTTGGCATGCTGCACACCACTATTCATCTCTCCACCAGGGATAACGGAGTCACTCAAGTGTCAGAAACAATCAGACTCTCCCTGATGTGTCCTGCCTGTCCTCTCCCCTGGCCGCAGAGGGCTGACGGCGCAGATGAGCAGTGTCTGAGAGGAAATCTGCAGAGATAGTTAGAGGGTTACGGGGGCCATGGTGACACAGGTGGGCTGTCAGATGGAGCAGTGGTCCGGGGAAAAGGGAATCACTTGTCTTATTCTGTCTCCCACAGAGCCATGCAGCCTGAATTTCACTGACCCAGAGGGTAACATCGAAATCCTGCAGCAACTTGACTCTGGAGTGGAGTGTAACTACCTAGTGACGGTCTACCTGGGATACGGCATCGAGGTTCAGGTGAGTGGTAACGATTAAGATTTCTCATAAAAATTAAATATACAACCTCTGATGAAGTGGTTCGGTTCAAACTGCACACTTAAACCCCACAGTAATAGATGTTTTGGGGCACTGTGAATACTTTACACAAGAAGACTTTCTAAGTTGACATGACAAGTTAACAGTTGCATTTTAAACCAACAAGCAACATTAGCATACATTATTTTTTGTTTTGTTGTTTTTGTTTGTTTTTGCCTGTCCTTGTTTGTCTACCGTCCCTCACACTGTAAAGCGTCTTTGAGTCAGAGAAAAGCGCTATACAAATATAATTTGTTATTATTATGTAGCCTTGTGTGTGTGGCAACCTGACCCATGTTAGACCAATAGTTACTTTCCTTTCAGTTGGGTTTTTTTAACGGCTTTAAAAAAATGTTTCATGAATCGCCCAAAGAACTTGAGGGGATAAAACAGAGCCAGGAGATTGTGAAATGTGTAGCTGCAAAATAAAAAGTCACAGTACACCAAAGAGTAAAATGTAGAAGTTCTGATACTCCTTATGACCCACATCAAAAACTTACCATAAGAATACTATGGCTTTCCACTCCTATATGTTCACATATTTTTTTACAATGTGTTTATCAGAGGTTTTCCCTTGAAAATGATGAGAGCCATGAGACTGAACCTAACACTAAAATGCAGGCCATAAACCAAATGATCTGAACTATGCTGTAAAGCTCCATATAGCTTTATAGCACAGAACTGCAGGGTCGGTTGACAAATGTCTGAAAGTAAAATAATGTTGCACATTTTTTGTCCATGTAGCCACTGTGGAGCTGTGACATATTTTGGTTTAGCTCTTACAATATTCACTGGTCTTGTGGGGGTTGCTGAAGATAGACAGGCAACAAATTGCTGTGAGTGGGCGGATGGGGGCAAAATAGATGGGGTCCGTCTCAAGTTGAAATGTTTGCTCGCTAAGTCTCCTCACAAAAGGTTATAAAAATGAACTGTGTGTGTGTGTGTGTGTGTGTGTGTGTGTGTGTGTGTGTGTGTGTGTGTGTGTGTGTGTGTGTGTGTGTGTGTGTGTGTGTGTGTGTGTGTGTGTGTGTGTGTGTGTGTGTGTGTGTGTGTCTGGGCTTTTGCAATTTCTCAAACACCTCATTTACCACAGGAGACTTTAAAATGTGTGGGCTTTGTCTTGCTGCCTCTGGAGGGCTAAGATAAGTCTTGACAGAGTATATGTTTGAGAGTGTGTTTTTCTTCCGAAAGCTTCCTCTGGGTAATGTAAGTGAAGAAAATGTGTGTTACCCACACACACACACACACACACACACACACACACACACACACACACACACACACACACACACACACACACATACACACACACACACACATTTTACATTTTAACTTTCACATGCTTTTCCCTGTTCATTTGGAGACTCAATAAAAAAGCAAGGCTAGCAGGGAATTTATAGAAATGTTATCCTCACTCATCTAACACCCGTGATAGACTAAGAGGAGGATGCCATGTGTTTCAGCACCACCATGTGAACAGATGGGGCCACAGTCTCACTCCCTCCTACAGCTAGACTGATAGTGATCTGATGGAAAACAATACAGACAAGCGCTTGGCACGGCTGAAGAGAATGAGGAGCCATGGTGTCTGTTTCTGGAGAATGAAGATGCAAAGATAGAATTTTAAGTCAAGTGTGTGTCATACCCTCTCATCAGGGTTGTGTGAAGCTCCTCTGCCTGGAGGCTATCCAAATCCCAAAGGTTATGGTGAAATAAACAAGATGAAGAAGTAGACTTGTATAGGAGCAGTGTGCACTGAAAGTATTATGCAAGCAGTACAGTATATACCTCACATTTCAAACATTTTCGGGGGGGAAATGGACCCACATTTAGATGTTGTCTCAATGGATTCACCGTATCTAAGACATGTGAGCATACACACATGCTGAAATACACAGACAAGGTAGAAATTACAATCCTAAAGTTTTAAGTATCTACTATTTTTGACTCGACTACTGTACCAGTGAGTAAAACAGAGGTTTTCTTTCAATTGTTTAGTTTTGTACACAAGTGACTTGTACAACTTATACAGTTTCTGTATAAATAATGCTTGCAACAGATTGTTAAATGAAAAGTATTCAATGTAATAATTTCTTAACATAAATAGCAGAAAATCTTCGAAAGGTGACACGTTAAAGGTAAAACAAGTAACATATATAAGTGCAATTTGTCGTGGTTCAATTTGGTATTATTTCATAATATACATTTGTAAGTAATATCTTTTTTTTATTGATTTGTGATTCAATTGATTAAAGTAGAAGTAAGAAATTCCCATGGATAATAGATACAGTAAGGCTCTCTAGATGATGAAGGTAATACATCAAACAGATTTTTATTTGTTTCTTTTAAATGTATTTTTTAAGTGATACATAGATGAAAATGTGTTCTATAAATTATATGCAACATATTTCAATTATAGCTTTTCACAGTCCTGCTTTTAATCATGTTTCACGCATGTCGCCTAATTGAAAATACTAATCCTTAAATTATAATATCCAATAAGAAAGGACAGACAAAATTAAGTCAATAGCAACTAAACTGATTACTTCCACTTTTTTGAGTTTTTTTTCACCGTTACATAACAATCTTCTGAGGGATTAAAGACCCTCCCTTGACAATTCCTGGGTTGGATCATCAATTACCACAAAAAGTCTATTACCACAAATCAGCACTTTGATCAGCTAGGTTTTGACACCATTTAATGTGCCGGCTTTAACACAGGGATCATGCACATGCTCCACACTCTAGAGGAGCCGTAAGAGGGACATTATGACTGAAGTGAATGTTCTTGTTTTGGCAGCCGGCCTCTTTTATGGAAGGTATTCATCATCATACCAGACAGACCAGCAGTTTGCAAGGGCAAGGAACGGGAAATGAAGGGAAAGAAAAACACTGAAGGACGGATGAGGTCACCGCATAATAAATATTTAAGTTGATTTGGACTACCTGTTTCTGTCGGACACAGAGCACTCCTTCTGATTTCCACAAGCGTTAAACACATCAGATAGATTGGTGTGGGATAATAAGCAAGATCAGACCTTTCCTGTGGTAAGTCAATAGTCCTTTCAGCAGCCTGGCAGTTTGCAGGGGAGGGAGGATAAAACACGTATCAGGATAATTTACTGCCCTCGGCCTGACTGTTCAACCCCTCTGACACAGCTAATGGCAGATAATGCATTGCCCCATCTGCTGATCCTGTCTGCATTACAATTTATTTGCAAAATAATTGCACAAATATAAGAAGGCTAATGTGACGCCGACCTTAAGCTCATAAACTAATAGTTTGCTGAATATGTATTAAAAAAGGGGTTACAAATACAGTATGTTAAACAACAATCATGATTGAGTTAATTCATTCAGTAAGTGATATAAAAGATTTAAATGTAATTATTATTGTCTTCAATAGTATTACCTTAAGATTAAACATTAGTAATTTAGCTTCTTTTTTAAAATTATTTTCTCTTATATTAAGTTGAATAACTTTAAAGCCTGTATTATGAAGGAAGGCTTACTTTACTCAGTTATCCCAGCTAGACATGTTTGGTTCTAAAAACATTCTGAGAATGTTACCATTCACTGTTCTAGGAATGTTTTCAGCGGGAAGTTTTCTTTTGGTTCCCAGAATGCTCTTCTGAAAGGTAGGATAACGTTCTCTAAAATCATTCTTAACATGTTTGGTGATAACCTTCTTAAGATGTTTTTGATAACATTGTTCGAACATTATGCCATACTATTCTTAAAACGTTTTCAGTTGCAAGTTAGATTTTTTTATGTTGCCAGAATGTTATCATTTTAGAGTAGGATAACCTGCTTTATCGTTCCAATTTATCAGAATACTTTATTTTTAAATGCGACCAGCAGCTAGTAGAAGTCACTGTCGGTGTCACATGTACTGGAGAGGACCCAGAGTCAGACTCGGAATCAGCTGGTGAAAGTAACATTTGTTTATTAGAAAAGGGGAGCTGGGAGTGGAGGTTGGTGATGGCGGCAGTGGGAAACAGTTGTTCCAGGGTGGGTAGAGAGGCCTGGCTGGTCTTGGGAGTGTGGCAGGTCTTGGGTTCCTCCTGGGAGAGACACACAAATGAGTGTGAGGCAAAAGCAGGCAAAGTTGTCAAAGCTAGAGCGGCACGCAACAAACCGTTCACGACAACAATCCGGTAGGGTATGAGTGCAGGCTGCAGGCTTTCATAGTGTGGCTGATGAGCAGGTTGCAGGTGTGGTTGATTGGAGATTGCTCCCAGCCGTGTAGAGCAGACCAGCAGGCAGGGGGGGGGGGGAGACACACAGTAGAAACAAACACACACTAACAGGGGTTTCAGGGACGGGCAGTGACAGTCGGTCCGTTCCTCTATATGTCTGTCGGTCTCAAATCTAAAGGGTGCAATAACGATTTGTATCCAATATGCATAAACAGCGGACACTGTTTATACGCAGCCCTCACAAATCACACGGTCAGATAGCTTATCCAACAGTTACAACCTACATACGAGACACAACCTTTATAGTCAGAAAAAAAGTGTGATTATTTTCGGATATTTTACACATATGATATTATGAATACTGTGGGCCTCCATACCTTAGTGTGATTATAAGTGCATGTGAGTGAATATTGGCATGCAAATTCGTTTTTATACGTCCTATTCATTGCCTCAATGCGCTCATACATCTTAAGAAATGTATCACCAAAAATGTTAAGAATGATTTTAGAGAACGTTATCCTACCTTTCAGAAGAACATTCTGGGAGCCAAAAGAAAACTTCCCGCTGAAAACATTCCTAGAACAATGAATGGTAACATTCTCAGAATGTTTTTAGAACCAACAATGTCTAGCTGGGAACTCACACATGCCACGCAAACATGCAATATCTGCTTGCTGCTTATCATGAATTACGTGCTTGTTTTTTTTCAAAAGGAAAATGTGGTGACAGATTTCTTAAAACATC